GACGTCTGCTAATCACTCTCGCGTTTCTGAGAGCTTCGCAGAACTTTGCAAATGTCTCTGATGGGCCTGATTTGACTCTCTAAAACAAAAACACATTTTTACAAGCGGTTGACTGTAACTGTTTTGGTTCATTGCTTCATCTCAAGTTGCTGAACTCACAAGCCCTTCTCCTCCTTCTCCTCAATCCTCCTCCTCCACCGCCGCCACGTCTTCCTCCCCTCCTCTTTGCTATTGAACGACCACCACATGAAAGAGTATGATGTAAGGACACGCCACTAAACTAATGTTGCTGTCTCAAAGCAAACTCAACCCAGATGTTATTGGGCTTAATAACAAACAAAATTCATTAAAACACTGTTTATTGCAGATTGGCTGATCGCCAGTCCTATAAAAAGTCCACCGTGCCTATAATTGTACTAATCTGCTCTATAAACACTTGAAAGGTTCAAATGCTGCAGTGACTTCCTCTTATCAACCACATTACACAATGATGGAGGTCACAGGGTTAACCTTCAACCAAAGACTTTACCCGTGATAACAGAAACAAAGCATTTTTGTGGAGTTATTTTATAGAACTATTTAGACCAGATGAGCAAAGAAGACTGCTGGCTTTGATGTTGACAGAGCTCTTCAATAATTAATTGCTTGATTAATATGCGTTTCCTCAAAACGTCTGACCCTTTACTAAAACTGGCGGCCTTATTAAAGCTCGAGCCTTTCAAACGGGAAGTAAACACACCATCTATGATATTCAACATTGCCTATAGTTGTAAAAAAATGGGATAAGAAAGATTTCTGCTCCGATCTTTAAGTATTATTTAAATTATTTCACCTCAAGGTTTTTTTACTGTTCCAGTTCAGATGCTTTCTTTCATCTTTTCTTGTTTTTTGGCACCATCCTCTCCACAAACTGTTGAGCGACAATGGGAGAGAAAACAGATTATGCTGATAAATAGGATCATCCTGAGCTAAACGCTGAATGCTCGCGATCGAGAGGGTGAACAGGATCCACGGACAATGTGCAGGGCATGTGGACAAATAGTCTCACCTCCAACTGAGTGTGTTGTTTCTTCTTATTGTGCCCCGTGAAAGAGAAGAGGAGGGCCTTGGTTAAGAAGATTATAGCCCTACCCCACCCGTACGTTTAATCAACATGCCCTTTCAATGCCGACAACAATGCCAAACATGTCTAAAACGTCCCTCATCTCTCTCATAGCATACCTCACATGTTGGAACAGTATGCGAGTCGTCTAACCACAGCAATTAGAAGAAAATACCAGGGTTACTCTCACAGACACAGAGTTGGTGTAGGCAGATCATGTTTCCCATCAAAGAACTGATAGCGTCAATTTTCAGAAATGTCACCATCACAGTTTTGTGTTTGATTGCGATCTAATTTCAGGCCGTACGCGAACAAAAATGTATTAGCTTCAACTCCTTTTTACTGATCAGAATCCCCTAAAGAACCCAAAGGAGCTTTGCTTCTTCACCCTTCATTTCTTTCATCCATGGTTAAATATGTAAATAAAATGTCTAAAGTCATTCTTCAAAGGGGAACAAAAGAAAAAAAAGGGGGCTGAGGGAAAAGACAGCCATAAAATTCCTCCGATTCTCCATAACATTAGCCAGAGGGGGGCCAGCTTCCAGCCAGAGCCGAGCAGCAGGGGAGCGAGCTCGCTCCATAGAATCACACATCGCAAATCCCACACACAAAAAATAAAATATCTTTTCAGCTTCAGCCATCAAAAGCCCCCCCGCAACCCCCCCCCCCCCTCCTTCCTTCACTTTATTAGTTACAGAATTATCTCACAGTCGCTGATTTCTCAGAGATGGAGCTGTGCTGCTTCTCTTCATCGCGCTGTTCTGGTTGCAAAGATGAGATAAAGTCTCTGTGTATAAGGGAAAGTGTGCGTGTGTGTGTGTGTGTGTGTGTGTCTTATGGACTTGTGTGAATAGCGATGAGCTAGAGAAGGGGGCCGTATATGAAACAGGGGGTGGGAGACGGGGGGAAAAAAATCATAAAAGGGACAATAGCTTCTGAGGCTACAGATGCTAAAGACTGAACAGGCCTGAATCCTCCTCTTTTCTTCTCATTTTCAAAGAGATATCATCATGACCCAAACAATCAGGAAAGAGTGGGAGGCAAGAGGAAAGACAGGAGCGAGCGCAGAACAAAGGCGAGGAATTACAACAAACCAGTAGACGGTGTCTTCTTATTAGACTGTGTGACAGTATTATGTTGTCAGCTTCATTGCACCAAAGGCACCGATAATAAGGGCAGATATTAGCTCTAAAATCTGCCAGACGCAGTTTCCCGAAATCCGGATGATCAGTAAGTGGAGAGCAGAACGGACTCCGGGGAACACGCTGATAATACATTATTTGTCGCTTTTTGCTCCATCAGTGATGATGAAGGCCAGGTGGAGGGAGAGGGCCAGAGCATGTCAGCCGTGGTTACAATATATAAATATAAAGTGCATGCTGCTGTATCTGGGCTTTTTCGGCGAAGCGAAATAATCTGCACACCATTATGAATTTACCGGCTAACAACTTTTAACCTAACACAAAATAATCCCAGGTTGCAATAATAGAAATCAAACTAGCAGCGCGGCTGAAGACATTGATTTCAAAATAACGCACCAGCAAACGTCTTTTTGAAATAAAGTGACGCATGTGATGTGTTGGACAAAAGGCTTCAAATGGTAACAGCTGGATAAGTGGAATCTGAGCAACACATGTGCTGCATAGGAGGAGGGCATTGTGTTCATAAGTGTATTCATACCCTATATTTATGCCCCCTTCTGCTCCACGCACTGAGCGCCAACAGCTGAAATGCCACCACTAAGATATGCTGAGCTTAAACCGTTTAGGCATGCTGGTGCCACGTTTCTCATCTCGCCCGGACACATTTCTGAAATACTTCTAAAAGCACTTTTGAAAAAAAACATATAACTCCTGTTTACTTGTGATCAGTATTTCACCCCAGATGAAAAACACGGCCAGGTTTGAGAATAAATCTCAACACCACAAACTCTTTACAAGGTAATACGAGTGAGGCCTCATAACCTTCTCTAGAGCAGTCAGCTCCTGCATGCGCAAACCGACACAGTGAGTTCTGATTCACTGCAACGGCAAGGCTGCTTCGGGTTCACATGTGCAGTTTGTTCATTAAGTCAATGTGTTGCCACGTTGAGTATTAGTCGTATGACACACATGAAATAAATAAGTCTTTGGTGCTGCTGTGTCTTATGTAGGCCAGCTCTCTAAAAGCCAATAAAAGCCCATTCATCCATTCATTTTGTAAACCACTTATCCCGCAGGGTCACAGGGTGCCGCAGCCGATCCCAGGCCAGAGACAGGATCTTTAAGTGTAACACATCAGTACTCATCATTTGGCAGTGTGACAGGAAAGTGGAGCACATGAAGTAAAAATACACTGCGGGATTGCAAAAAAACAACAATCATTTATCCCTCCCCACTGAGTCAATCAAAACAAATGAAAATAGATAAAGGTTGATTAGGGGAAGCTGACGTGACTCAACCCTACACGGTTTGTTACAGTCCTTTTCTCTGCCTGTGAACACAGTGGGCCACAGTGCTTCATGAGTGTCGTTGAGTAATTCATTCGATTTTTATTTCTGCGGCTTATGGGAACCTTTCATCACAATGTGGTCCATCAAACACAATATTCTCCACAGCATAGTCCCAGGTATCAAAATAAATATGAAGCTCATTGAAAAATGTCAACAAGGAAATAGGAAACACATTCGTTGTGTGAGTGAGAATCTCCAATTAGGTGCATTGACCTGTCCAGAATTGAAAAGGAAATATGTAAATACCTGTGCATTTATGATATCACCAAGAGTTTATGCAAAATTGAGACGGCCTGGATTGTTGTGACCATTCATTTGGCTCCCTGTAATAAAATGTTAGAAATTATACAATTGACCAAACTGGTCATGAGGGAGAGGCAAATCAGTGTCCGAATTATTGATGCAAGCTTGTTTGGGCCTCACAATAGAACAATGTCAACACTTCATGCTGCCATTCACAAAATAAACCTCATCATTTGTTTGCTGGACTACTTCCGTCATTAGAAAAGACAGGAAATGGCTGCAAAGAGTTTGTCCTGCTACGTTCCAGATGTGATTGTTGACAATACACGGACTGACTAACACTTAACATAATACAGCTGTTGTTTTAAAGTATTCACATCAATTGGCTTCTTGTCGTTGGTATGTGTGTGAATACTGTTTGGAAAATCCCCTTGACGATGACGCCATTTTCAAATAAACTGAATTAAGTTATAAGAGATAACCCAGAGGGTCTGCTGTCTCGTTTGTGTAAATATACCGTAACACGAAATATATCATTATTTAAATGGGAACCCCACCTCAAAAAGATAACTCATGCATTTAATCAATTTAATTCAAATTTGTTTCATTTGTTTTACTTTCATGATATTAACGACTCCGCTTTGATCGTCCAGTTGAGTTTTTCTTTAATTAAATCCCTGTGGGGAATTAATTTTCAGTCTATTTCCAAAAATAGTTAAGGACGGTAAATAGCTTTATTCACTTAGATGCTGTACTTTACGTGCGTATTTAAATTTTATTGTGAGAATCATGAAATTAGTTTCCCATTGGATTCTTTTATTATTTAAGGCATATCCGTAGTTAGTTTCCTACCACTCAACCCTTAAACTGAAATTGCACTTGAAAAACGTTGATAACATCTTGTGCGACCGAAGAACGTAGAAGTAAAGACTGTGGACACGTTTGACACTCGCGGACTCTCATAAAAGTTTGCTTTTGAGCACAAACGAATAGAGAAGAAAAAAAACTTTTCCTCCGAGCTCTCAAAAAAAAAAAAAAAAAAACCGCTGTTAGTGAACAAACTGTTCCGCGCGATTGGAGAGTAATCCGCGTGTCGGTGTCATCTTTCATATGCAAAGTGGCCCTTAGTGCTCTGAAGGCGGATCTCTTGGCAGGTTTCACCGGGACGGAGGCTCCGACCGGCTCACACGAGCTCTGCCTCCCGACGCAGCAGCTCCTGCCTCCTCAGCGGAGCCTTCCTGGGGACACCGTTATCACTGTTACTATTAATAGTATTATTATTATTCTCCACGGGGATTTGTATCTCCCTTCTACCGACCGGAGCGGGGAATCATTTTATCTCGCTTTCCCTCAAGTTGTCGCGCGGCGACGTGACATCGTCGCGGCGCCTCGCGGGGGGAAAGTGAGAGGACGGATGAGCGAGGGGTGTTTTTTTGGGGGGGAGGGGGGGCGACGACAAGTCAGAAATACCGGTCACTCGCTCCGGCGCTTTTTGAAGCATGGACCTGAACGCACGCGAACTGCAGCGGGAACGCGTCCCGCGGAGGGATTTATGGCGGTTTCTGAACTCTGCGAATCTGACATGAGGAAACGTCTCAGCAGCGGGTAGTTCATGAAGTTTTTGTCGTCCGACGCGTAAACCATCGCTGACCTTTTTGATGAAATGAACTTGTTCTTTGTGTTGGACTATTCTTTGTTTTGTCTTTAAATCGAGAAAGGGAGAATGCGTTCAACGGTTAAAGCCAGCGTCCTCTATGTGCTACTGGTCCTTTGGGGCGGCGGTGGTGGTGGAGGTTGGGCCATTAGCTCAATAGACCCAGACTGGTCAGGAGAGGGGAGATGTCAGCACATCAACATCCCCCAGTGCAAAGACATCGGCTACAACATGACACGCATGCCAAATCTCATGGGCCACGATGACCAAAAAGAGGCGGCGATAAAGCTGCAGGAGTTTGCGACGCTGATACAGTTCGGATGCCACAGTCATCTCAAATTCTTCCTGTGCTCGCTGTACGCACCCATGTGCACGGAGCAGGTTTCAAACCCCATCCCAGCATGCAGGGTTATGTGCGAGCAGGTAAAGCAGAAATGCTCGCCCATCTTGGAACAGTTTAACTTTCCCTGGCCCGACTCTCTGGATTGCTCCCGGCTGCCAACCAAAAACGACCCAAACAACCTCTGCATGGAGGCCCCCAACAACGGCTCGGATGAGCCTCCCAAAGTCTCCCACACCCCGCCTCCAGAGTTCCGGCCCCAGCGGCCTCTAGGCGGGCAGGGCCTGCACCTGAAGGACAGCGGCAGCAAGCGGGCCTGCAGCAACCCCGGCAAGTTCCATTTTGTGGAGAAGAGCGAGTCCTGTGCCCCCAAGTGCTACCCCAAAGTGGACGTATACTGGAGTCAGGGAGACAAGCAGTTCTCTCTGGTGTGGATAGCCATCTGGTCCATCCTTTGCTTTGTCTCCAGCGCCTTCACCGTGCTCACTTTCCTCATAGACCCTCAGCGATTCAAATACCCGGAGAGGCCGATCATCTTCCTCTCAATGTCCTACTGTGTTTACTCTGTGGGCTACCTCATCAGACTGTTTGTGGGGGCCGACAGAATAGCCTGTGACAGAGACACTGGGGTTCAGTATATAATCCAGGAGGGTCTGGAGAGCACCGGCTGCACCATCGTCTTTCTCATCCTGTATTATTTTGGCATGGCCAGCTCCCTCTGGTGGGTTATCCTGACCCTCACATGGTTCCTGGCTGCAGGGAAGAAGTGGGGCCACGAGGCTATCGAGGCCAACAGCAGCTACTTCCACCTGGCGGCTTGGGCCATCCCGGCCGTGAAGACCATTACCATTCTGGTGATGAGGAAGGTGGCGGGAGATGAACTGACGGGCGTCTGCTACGTGGGCAGCATGGACGTCAAAGCTCTCACGGGCTTTGTGCTCATTCCCCTCTCCTGCTACCTTATTATCGGCACTTCGTTCCTGCTCTCTGGCTTTGTGGCCCTCTTCCACATCCGTAAGATCATGAAAACGGAGGGAGAGAACACGGACAAGCTTGAGAAGTTGATGGTTCGCATCGGGGTCTTCTCCGTGCTCTACACCGTTCCGGCCACCTGCGTCATTGGCTGCTATTTCTACGAGCGGCTCAACATGGACCACTGGCGCGTGGTGGCGGCGGAGCAGAAATGCACGGACGGCGGCGGGCCGGAGTCCGACGAGTGCGCCATGAAGACTTCCATCCCCGCCGTTGAGATCTTCATGGTGAAGATCTTCATGCTGCTGGTGGTGGGCATCACGAGCGGCATGTGGATCTGGACCTCAAAGACGCTGCAGTCGTGGCAGAACGTGTTTAGTAGGAAGCTGAAGAAGAGGACGAGGAGGAAGGCTGCCAGTGTGTTTACCAGCAGCAGGCCTTACATCAAGCCTCACCCGTCTCTCAAAGGGCACAGTACCAAGTATGAACCCACACGGGCCCCTCCAACGTGTGTATAGGCTGACTTTCTTTGTACAAACCCCAAAAATACCCGTAAAGCCCTTACCTAAATGAGACTTTGTAATCAGCGGGCCATCAAGAGAATCAAGGGTCATGTTTTATTTATGAAAAACGCGTTGAAGATAATGCTATGGTTTTTGTCTGTGCGTGTCTTCAGCGAGCTCATGCAAACAAAATCTGCCCTTGTTTTGAAGAAAAAAAAAAGATGTGCCACTCCTGGATTTACTTATCCCTCTGAGGAAAAAGAACTCACTGTCCCACACAAAAAGAGTGGAATAAACCATTTAGATGTGCTGTGGGGTAACTTAAATAATGTGCAATAGATGTTTTCTTTACAGGCAAAAAAAAAAGAACCACTTACTGTACTGTTATTGACAGATTACAGACAATGAAAGGACCCCAGTGACGATGGAGGCAGACGGTCAGAGAGATGAGTGTTGTGTTTTCAATGGAAATCAAGGCAGTGACATATATGTTTGAACTGGAGTGAGAGCAGCTTTTGAAAACAGCTCATTATTTGTGAGGCAAAATCCATGCCATAAATTAATCAGACACTCGCTATTGAAAAGTGGATATTTCCTTCTTTTTTTTTTGTTCTTGGCAGTTTTATAGCACAAGGAAACGTGTATATATTTCAAAAAAATATATATATAGAAAAAATAATAAAACGTTCTAGTTTTAAATGTTTGCTGAGCCCAAATGTTGTGTTGCAACTGCGTTGTTATTTTGTCTCCTGTCAGTCTTCACTTTCATACGACTGGATTAAGCTTGTGTTTGTTTTTTGATTTAGTTTAGTAATTATTTTACTGCGCAGGACTTGTTTTTGCTTGACGCTGTTCAGTTGGGAGGAGTCGTTTAAAGAAAATCTAAATCATTAATTTGTATATGGGATATGAGATAAACCAGAGTTGGGTTTTAATGATATGTTTTGCAGACAGAATAGCTTTAAATTGAATAGACTGAAGCAAAATAGTTTACATGGCTAAAACAGACATTTTATTATAGTATTAACTGATTGTCATAATTGGTTCTATGACCAGTTAGGATCAGATCATCAATCTATTAGAAACATGGAAAACATAAATCCCATTTTTAAATGTACAAAAAGAGATGTAAAAATGTTTAGATGTTGGTTCTAAACTGAACACACACAGGAAGCGTTAAAAGCGCGTTTCTGTTGCTGTTCTAAATAATAAAAGGAAACAATGTCCTCCGGGTTGCGGCATCAAAAAACAAAAGAGGTGGGTCCATGGCGTTTTATTTTCTCTTCATTTTCAATGAAAAAAAATCACATATAGTTTTATATTTAATTAGTTAACATAAAATCACACTTTATTCACAGATTTTGCATAGGGGCTTTTGTAATTATAATACATAAGGATTTGATGATAGAATTATCTTTGGAACAGTGTGATACAGTATTACATTTACAGGATAAATTAACATATAACCAATATTCATACAGATGAAACGGGAAAGTGGTGGTTATATCAATATGTCCGATTGCAAAGCTATGGTTAACATGAAGGTTTTTGATAACCTGCTATATTGACCTACCTGCTATCTTTGTAAATATACCTTGCATTCTTGCTTCCGACATGCTTATATAACCTTGTGTATAGTTTTCCACCTTATATAGTGAATATACAAGTATATTTTAGTCCGCTCTCATCCTTTCTGTCTCTTTTCTCTTTCTCGCTGTGGTACATTCGTCGGTGCGTATCAATGAAGGGGTTATACAATAATCCAGCTCTCATTCAGGACGGGATTAGAGCGTTTGAAGGGTTGCACTTTGAAAAGCAGAATGCTGCCAACCCAAAAGACGGAATATCTGTCATCTCCTCTCTTCTTATCAGCAAGGCATAGTGGCATTTCTATAGACACATCTGGCCTCGGTTTGAAGAAGTCCCATATTGACTGAACCCGCTTCCTGAAGCATGAGCCAACTGAATACATTGTGTGGTATCCTGAGGTGTTTGGTGTTAAACGATCCTTAAACTGTCAACAATTTAAAGCTACATGCTCAGAGTGACAAGTCTAGTCTTGACTCAAAGCCACAGCAATCGTTTGTGACTTGACAGTGGTGTCCGCCGAGCGGGAGAACGCTGTATCCTAAAGTGATGGCTGCATGTATATAAAGACGGAACCACATATGTTTTTCTTTTCAATATTTGTAAAAAAAAAAGCGTAGTTTTGGGTTTACATGACCTTACCTTCATGTGCCTCACTTTCAAATCACTTTTTTTTGGCGAGTTTAAAACCTGAGAGTCCTCTCCGGTTTAATAAAGTTTCAGAAGTGCAGTAATGCTTTATCCCGGCGGGCATTCAAGTTCCAGCGTCAACCCGGCCCGTTTTAACAGTCAAAAGCACATGACTCACCACCTCTATGTGGCTGAATCAAAGTCAGCCAGTGTCTATTGATACTCTGAGTTGTGAAAAAGGTGCGAGTGCTTCTGAGGGCTTCAACGGAGGCCACCTGGATAACAGCCCCCGAGGTGTCTGGGAAGGCTGTAAATATAAATGACAGTTACCACCCCCCTCCAGGGCTTCTTCAGCCAAGCAGGCTTCACTTCTCTTATTCCCCTCTCTTCAAAGGAAGAAAAATCCCGCTCAGAGCGAGGGGCAAAGAATTACCGGCAAGAAAGCTCTTTCTAGTTTTCTTTCGGGGGCGAGGTGGAGGGCTCAATTGTTTGTATTTCTGGATTTAGGCCTTTACAAGTATAGATCTCATAGTGTATCACAGAGTTTTTCAAGCCAGGAGAATCTCTCAGTAGAATGAAACATCTTTTACTCGCAGCTGGTGATCATTAAATATTGTTTTATTTGACAAAGTAGGGGAATCCCGCTACACCCATGTGACTAAGGCTGATGAATGGCAGATATATCCGAACTCCGCCGGGGCGAATGCTGTCACCGCACTCTCGTCCACTTCCCGTCAGGTGCCGGCGGGGGTTTAGGCCGCGTGGATTAAAATGAACTTTCGCTTGTGATCGGTGCGCTTGAAACAAAAAACAAAACCTTTGATGAATACTTGATTTAATTTAAACTGACTGTTAAGCGAACCAGGATTTTCAGCTTTTCACAATCTGTAATTGACCTGATTTAAAGTGTCTTTGAGGAACCGGGCATCACCACAATCATCACGGTGAAATTACTCCTGGGCGCGTCGAAGGAATACTTCTAATAGTTCAAAGAGAAAGTGACAAAGTCACAAAACACGACTTCCCTCTCATCTGTGCAATCTTATTGTCCGCGAGGCGGGAGTTGTTTTGGAACATAGTTCTATGACACGGTGACATAAATCAGGTTTCGGGGATGATTGGCGGCTGAGGCGGCTCCTCTTTGATCTGGCTTTGTGGAGACGCCCCATGTCCTCATCCTCAGCTGCTCCAGCAGCACCTGTTTACTAGTTCAGACCTGTCTGTTCGGAGAGCAGCGCTTAGCCCCTTCAATGTCATAGACTCATACATGACGCACACACACACACACACACACACACACACACACACACACACACACACACACACACACAACACACAAAGGAATTTGGCTGAGGCCCGTGGGTGGGTTCCTTCCAACATGTATGCTCCTAATGCACCAGACCTTTACTCATTCCTGCTCCTTGTTTCGCTTATTAGACAGCTGCTGCAAATGTAAATCTGTCACCTTTTGGCGAGTTCGGCCTCCTCTGATTGAACCAGAGAAGAAAGATGCGTCGTGAACAAATAACAACTTTGTTTCCCTGGTCAAAGAAGTGACTCTGAGGAAGAGTGTAATCGAAGGAAGAGAAATATCTGCAAGTTTCTGCAGTGTTATAAAACATTTCTGTGGATTACGGCTGAAGAGGGTGTGGGTGGGCTTCATGTTCTGAACTGATCTATTTCAAATAATCTAGGGCAACATAAGAGTGCAGTAAATGCCCAATCTGCAGTAATGAGCCATGCAAACGACGCACAGACAAACACACCTCAGTGTGCTGTGGAGGCAGCTGTTCGCAGCCACCGCTGAAGGTGAGAGTAATTACATAAAAACTTGGCAACAATTAGTTCTCTCCCTGCAAGGCGGGGGCCGGGCCCTTTTTTTCAAATGCATAATGAACTGCCTCGCAGGCCCTCTGCAGATCAAACAAGTGTTTGATAGTGGCTTTGGTTTGAAAGAGGGCTGAATATGTTTATTTGCATGTGGAGAAGAGAGTGACTTTGAGGTGCAGATCAGGCAGATTAGTGTTAACTGACAGAGACCTGTGCAAACAGACACTCCCCCCGCATACAAGCAGGGCATCGGCGCACTTCCTCAGAGGACGAGTTTGGCTGAATGCAACATCAGACAGACAAGAGCAGGGCAACTCCTTCCACTTTTCAGACATTGTTCTTTGTATGTTGGCCTCCTCCCCTAAGCCTGACTGATAGACTTTGGCTTGTGAGGTTGGATGCATGTGAAAGCATGCTCACTGAAAGCTGGGAAACTAAAAAGAAGAGAGGAAAAACAATAATTGGTGGTTACTCCTCAAAGACCTGCTGTAAGTCAAAATGCGGCGCATGTATACTCATAAGAACACAAACTTGTATAAAGATTCAAAGGGTTCAGGCAGGATCAGCGCCTCACTATGAACTCAGCTCACACATCGACAAAATAACAATACAGAACAAAAGCTCCCGTTTTAATGTGCAATATGGTTAAACCTTTGGAGGAAATGTTTATTTTCTTTCTTGCCCAGAGTGAGAGGAGAAGATTTATTCATCACTACAGAAATGAATGTTTACCGATCTGATCTAACTTCTACTCAAGTCAAATTCTATTTACACGTTAATATTAATGTAATATTATCATTATGATAATATAAACACAAATATTTAGGCATAATAAATACTTTTACATGTGATACACAAAGTACATTTGGGTGATGGTATTTGTTTACTTTTATCTAAGTACGATTTTTATTGCAGGACATTGTGGTATTCCTACTCAGAAATAGACAATTGCTTTCATTTTGGACATACAGCCCTATTCTAGAATATGAAAAACCATGAACAATATTAATCTAAACTAAATGTTAAAATATTTGAAAATACACTTCTTAGACATATTAGCCATGTTGTGGCCATGTTTCACTTGTTGCTAGGCAAATGTCAATCAGTACGACTTGGTCAAGACAGAGAAAGTTAGCGTATACTTTCTATAAATATACATCCCTATTAGTCATTAATGGTTTCAATTTGGGATCATTCATACTGCAGAGTTTTTGAGAGTTTACAAGAGTTCTTGGAGAGTATTTTATTATTAAATGCGTGGTCGTGGCAGTAGCTGCGCACTGCTAAAAATACAAAACAGTAGATTGTCTGCACACAGTGTATTCTGCCAGCAGGGCCAGATATTTACTCCAAATTCACGTGACAGTTGATTGTCATAGTTTCCTTTCATGTTCCCCCTCCCCTCTGTGCCATCTTTCTTTGTTAAATTTGCTGAGCGTGTCTTTGAACCGCAGGCATTTTCTCCCAGCGGTGCTCGTGAGCCCTGCCAGATCCGTCATCATCCCTCTGCCTCTGCCGATCCCTCTATGGCTCCTATACTGTCTGTAAGCTCGCACACTCAAAGAGATACGCACATGTAGACAGTCTCCCGCTGTGCTCGCTAGCTCCCCTCCGCCATCAGTCCCCTCGGTGCCTTCCTAACATCTTTGAAAAACGCCAATAACGTATTACGACCAAGTGCGAGTGTTGTACACGCTGCACAAATGCACACAATGCACTCAATCATGCATGCAGTTATGTGCATCTTACTCTTCCGCCGTAGTACAGCCCCAGTCTTACAATAATGCTGCTGTTTTTACAAATGATCACAGCTCTCCGCGGTGTGGATTAGGAAGGTGACAGATTAGAGCCTGCTGCTGAACCACCATGGAGAGAACCTTCTTACCACACCTTTCCCTTCTCCGTCATGTTGCAGCACAAGGGTCCTCTCACAGAGCTGTGCCAAATGTTGCTCATCCTCCATTAATTATATTGTCTTAAAGTAACAGGGTCATTATTCAGTTACCTACTGCCCACACCTGACGATCTCTCAGATCACACTGTGTTCCGCGGCACAGTGGTTCAAAATCAATGGTAGAATGTTTTACTATTATTACTTTAGTGTAAGCGATTTAATCAAACGTACTATGCTCTACAAATACAGAAAAGCTGTACTTCAGATCTCATAAAACAAAGACTAAACCGGCTGTTAATCCGCTTCTTTGTGTTTTTACCACCACATTTTTGTTGGTATGGCAAAAATTAAGCAGAGTTCTTCTTTTTCCTCCTAGGAATCCAGTTAATAGCATTGGGCAGGCACACTGGTCCAAGACAACATCCCATTTTGCTCCCAGATTGATTTATGTTGTGACTTGAGTGAAAGCAATTTGGATTTTTTTTTTTATTTGCGACCATATGTGATTGCATTGCACATGTTCCTTTGAGTAATTAAGCAGTAGCATGGCAAAAGAATCTCGGTTTCCTGCCCCTTGGTGGTGGGCCAGATTGTCTGGTCCCGATAATAGTAATGGGAACGATGGCAGCAGCGGCTAATCTACGCAGAGAAGAGGTCAGGACCTACTTTTCTGGCCCGAGTGGAAAATAAAGGCCCACTTAAAGGGCCAATCTGTGGTTACAGTTGAGTGACCCG